TTTCCTAGTACCTCTCTCTACCTAGTGAAATGCAAGATGAAAGGTAAACCATACAAGAGCTGAAGCTTGGGTCCCTATGAATGGTCTTAGGTCTACAGCTTTACACCATTCATCATGCAAAGACATTTTTCATACTGAGAAGCTTTGAACTAAACCAAAAAGCAATCTCAGCGGCAGAATGTTCATTATTAACATCAAACATATGAAGTAGGAAGTATGTAAGAGCTTGGCCCAGCTACTGAAATAGATGCCTGCACATACGTACATTTCAAAGCTTGTTCTGCTGTAGCAGAACTTCCTCTGGAATATAACACTACCAGAAAACATCATATTCTGTTGAGAAATGACACAGTTTCATTCAAAACAATCAGAAGACAATAAGTATTGTTTATCTGCTTGTGTTGCATCTCCAAAGGATTCTGAATAACGAAATGCCCAAGCCTTTTATTCAGTTTCTTGCCCAGGAAGGAAAGAGCAGCCCATCTTACAGCACTTTGCCACTTGCTGTCAAAATGCCATGCCGCCGTTGCACGCCAGAAATGGCCTAAAAGCATGAAGCAGCACAGAAGGCAGCTTCTCACCAGCTAAGCACTCTCATCCAAACTTCTTAAAGCTTGCATTAACTGGTGTATAACTAACTAATGAATAAATTCCTTTGTTATTTAGTGTGCTCACGGTTGTTCAGTGAGTGCTGGGTGGCAAAGCGAACATGAATTTTTTTGCTTCTGACACATTCAAAGCCCCACAGGAGAAGAGAATATATTTGATGGCATCACTGAAATGCAATATATCTTAACGTTCATCTGTTCTTCTACTTGAGGAGATGTCAGAGGTTAAGTGCAGCTCTTTGCAGGGAAAGAAAAGCAGCATGAAAATGATGGTGCTAAGAACTAAATGGAATTACCACCTACGAGTCCAGGTGCCCCTGCTGAATTAAGGTATTTCATGTAGCTCAACCTACAGCTGGTCTGTAGCTCTGCTGTGTGCAATCTTACATTTGTAGTACAACTTTGTTTCCTAAAACCAGGAGATTCCATCCCCCTCCACATCTGAGGGAATGCTTATTTTGGAACCCATACAGTGAATATTCATCTAGTCTCCTGAAGTACTGAACGGGTCGAATCAATGCAAACACTACAAAATCAAACCCTGTCTATTGCTTTTCTTCTGGTTATTTCCCCAGTGTTTTGACAGTGATGCTAAGACTAAAATGATAGATCACCTTTTGGACCTAATACTGCCCTGTGTAGGTTATAGACAAATACCTAATTTAATGCTTCAGCATCGATACTCACCTAATATGCATGTTATTTAAAACAGCATGCGCCCCCCCCCCCCCCCCACACCGCTCCTTAAGGGGTTCAAGAATAACATCTCCTTCCTTTTTGCACCCAGGAGGCCCGAGAGGCACTGAAAGTTGCGCACAAATTGCAGTGTTCCGCACAGTACGTGGCGGGCTAGAAATGCCGCATTTGCAGAGACACCATCCCTCCATCGAGGTACCATCCCTGCTGCGGAAGCGAGAAACGCTCCGTGGGAATCACCACAAACTGACTCTTGCCCTTCAGACCTTCACCGCTAAACTTGCCCTGCTATGGGTACGGGCATGAGCACCAAGTGTGTTCCTTGCCTCTGCTACTCCTGCTACCGAGGCAGAGGGATGCCTACAGAACAGAGATTCTCATGGACATGTATATTGCTCAGCTCCCATTTTAAATGTTGAATTTTCAGTTAATCTGCTTACGGAAATTCAGGAGAAATGGCCAAATCACAGTCCTCCTAGTCTAGAATTTCAGTTCATTTCTGCAGATGCCAGTAGCTAGTCCAGCTTCCACTGAGGGACTCCATCACTGGGATTTCTCTGTCATGAATAAACCGAAGACACGAGGTTATTCAGAAATGGCTGTTCAGGAATAATGTTATCTTGAGGACACACCTGGGTTATTTTCAGAGAGGTGAGAACTGGAAGGCCACCCCACCTCCCCCTCCTGCAAGAGCAAGGTAAAAAAAAGCCAGAGGAATGCTTTTTCTTTTCCTGGCGTGCAGCCTAGCAAGGCAGAAGTAATTAAAAGAACATACGGAGAAATGAACAAAGTTGCCAAACCTGGCTGTTCAAACAGCATGGACTATCCAAATCCTGAGAGGTCTGCACAAAGAGGCAATTGCACAAAAGCTGTCGACTGAAGATTTGCAAAGTAGAAGAGCTTGGCAGAAAACTGGGTGGTTGTTCATGAGCTTGGCTTCCAAGTCCCTCCCTCAGCCCTCCCGCCTAAATCCTGCTCAGCTTGGAAAACCCCTTTCACAGGAGGGGCTGTCAGAAGAGCCTATAAGCAGATCTTCAGGCAATCCTGAGGGGCTACCTCAGGCTAAAAATAACCAAATGACCTGACAACATAGATGTTTGAAAGCTGTTGCTTGCCATATCGAATCCAGAAGTACTGCTGCTCACGTTTCTGCCTTCCTACAGACAGATGGCAAAGTAGAG